CTTCAATTTTTTTTTTAAAACATTAATCATCTTTCATGAGAAGGGGACCCATTATATACAATGGGTCCTACTCGGGAGAAAATCTCATTCCTAGATGTTTTATTAAGATTAATAGTAAATTTAAATAAAAGTGGAAATTCCGATTGTGAGGGACTAAAACCACGTAAAGTTAGGGTAAAATATATTTTTAATCCTTAAAGTATGTGTGTAATATTTATTTGGTCTCTAATTTTTGGATTGTGTTTATTTAATTCCTAAGGTTCTTAAATTCAAGAATCAAAATATCGTTTTGAAATGGTCGAAATATCCAAAACGTTTTCCTTTCAAAGGAGACCAAAACGAATCAATGATAGAATCAAAATTTTAATACTTCGAGGTGTTCCGTAATGTTTCGAAACATTTTATTATATTTTAATATATTTGTACAATTATTTCAGAATATTTCAAGATATTTCAAGATTTTTTGATATATTTCGAACAATATTTTGAAAAAATAATTCTTAAATTTTTATTATTTTTCATTCTGTTTTCTAAACAGATCGAAATGTTTCCGAAACATGTCGAGCCGTTTCCATTTTCTAGATGACGGAAACAATGCACCGAAATAAAATTTTGATCCTTACTTAAATTATATCTGTGTGGCTCAATTTTAAATGTCCGTTAAAAAATCGTTAATGTTTTTAATCATGCGTTAATCATGTGAGGTCGTATAAACATACATTAAGAACTTTAAGGACTAAATCGGGGCAAAATTGAAAATAACGTGATTAACGTGTGATCAAAATTGTCATTATTTTTTAAGTAACATTTGGGATTGGATCATTNTGATCAAAATTGTCATTATTTTTTAAGTAACATTTGGGATTGGATCATTTAAATACAAATTAGGAACCTTTAAGATTAAATAGACACAATTGAAAATTTGTGTATCAAATAAACACTAAAAATATATTTTACCATTAAAAGTTAATTTCAAAAACTTAAATGACACAAATAACGTGTAGCTTTAGGGAGCAATTTCTAGTTCCTCCTTCTCCAAATCTCTATAGTCACAACCCGCGATCCTCGCTGCTTGGATCCCCAAAGTCACCAAAACCCAAGAATCTTTGAAAGGTAAAAAAGTTGAATTACAATTTTTTCGCAATTGTAGTCTTAGATCTGAATTGTGAGTGTAATGTAGAACAGTTTGGTGTGGTCTCTGTTTTGGTTGTTGTTATCGAGGACTTATCATTATCTTATGTGTTTCGTGATTTTGAAGCATTCCATTCTTATGTATTTTTACGTTTTTTAGCATTCGAGTTGGCGTGGTTTGCAGGAAATCAGAGTTTCGATCTTTTCATATGGTTCTACGCTTATATGTATAACTATATATATGCACATTCACATATGTTGAGCTTGTGTTTACTTGTGGAGCAAAAACAATTAGGGTTTTCGATTTTCATCTGAAGCTAGTGATCAAGTCTGTCCCAGTCCCAGTCTCGGTATCTTTGTCTTTCTTTTGTTTAGGTTAATATTAGTATAGAAATCAATTAGAGTTAATTTTTTTTTAAAGCTTGCAGGTCTTAATTAATGTTGGTTGTATCGAATGTTCAAATTTTGAGTGATTTAAAGAGATAATGCAGACAGCCAAATCAACTTCTTTGAAATATGTATGTAAAATTTATAGATGGGATATTGATTGTATTAATTTGGGAATTTGTGATGCGTACAGATTTTTGAAGGAAAACTGAGCAATGGCAAACAATTCTTCCAATGGAGATTACCAAACCACAACTAAGCCACCTCCGACCCCATCTCCATTGCGTTTCTCAAAATTCTTTCAGGTACATTTTAATCGTGAGAAAATTTTTGATTCTCATCAGAACGTTGCAAAATACAAATTGCTTGGTTGGAACTTTTGTTCTCATCTTGCTTATGAAAATTGGTACTGTATGCCAGTGTTTTCTACAGCGACGTTACTTGTGGCATAAACTCATGTAGTTGATTTTGGTTAACCATCCAAAGAATTCGTAGACAAGGAGTCATGTACTGTTGAGCTTACCTTAGATAATTCCTGTATAGGTCAACTTGGACCATAGGAATCAAAACTCAGTGTAAGGTAGATCCACTGCGTAATCAACCACATCACAAAATTACGTTGTTTATCTCCTTTATAACAGAAGGGCATATGATGTCAAGCAGAGTGCTAGTAGAATACTCTTCTCTTTGGGTTGAATGTACAATTTTAGATTAGGAAGATCATGAGACGTCTTATTCATCGCATCCTTACATTTTTTACGTCAGAAGTATAGAGGATATGCCAACAGTCAGTTTTTGCTTTTGGTTCTATGAGTATCCCATCCTTGAGCGGGGATTTATACCAGTTGTTACTGATATGGCGATGTTCATGTGGTCTCCAGTTCTCGGAACATATACAAATTTGTTGTATTATCATTGTATTGCCTAGCATAACCATAGTCGCAACATGTGCTATTCAGCATTTCTCTCGCTTAATGGCAGCCCAATTTGAGAATTTTGGTTACCGGAGGAGCTGGATTTATTGGTTCTCACCTAGTGGACAAACTGATGGAAAATGAAAAGAATGAGGTAATAATGGTTTTCTTATCTTCTCCTAAGTGTTCCATTTTAGTGATTGGGAGCTGTATATATGCAATGTACTTGTGTCACAAGTCACAACAAGCACATGGGGCTTGCTGAACTGACAAATAAAAAAAGGACCAGTCAATATTAATCTTTTTAAACATTGCACAAACAAAATGAACATGCTCTTTAAGAAGTCATATTTAACATTTCTTTTTTTTTTTGGTGTTTAAACACAGGTAATTGTTGCGGATAATTACTTCACTGGCTCAAAGGATAATCTTAGGAAATGGATTGGTCATCCAAGATTTGAGCTCATTCGTCATGGTACTTTCTCTTCTTTTTCTCTTTTAATATTTTCGACATTTTCATATCCAGTATTCAGGGGGATTTGTCTCCATTCATGTGTTTGTTGCACATGCCATGATATCACTTTATGATCTTGGTATCAGTTCCTGATAAAAGAAATGTATATGTGACTACTGATCTTGGTATCAGCTCCTGACTAAAGACGTGTATGTAACAATTGACGTGCTGGATTTTAAGGTTTACTTGTTTTCTCCCCATGTTAAACCAAGATAATCAAGTAAAGATCTGCCCATGACGAGAGGTTTCATGTAAAGGAAATATTGAACATGAATTCAAAATCTGCATTGTCTTTGATTATTGGATCCTGTGCAGTCTACACTAGAACTTTTGAGATGTTATTAATTGGAAATGGACTTTTTGATTTGCAGTGCAGTATATGTGTCCTAGGAGTTCTTATGATTTTCTGTCATGATTTAATCAAATATTCTACTCCATCTTGGTTGGTAGTTGCCTAAGATTGGGTGACTCTAACAAAATTATGATGGACTTGTTTTTTGTTTTAATAATGTTCAGAGGTGTTGCTTGGGATGCCTAACTATAGTGTGTTTTTCTTACTGCAGATGTCACGGAGACATTGCTGGTTGAGGTTGATCAGATTTACCATCTTGCATGCCCCGCTTCTCCAATTTTCTATAAATACAATCCCGTGAAGGTATGTGTAATAGAGCTCATCAAGTTGTGTCATTCTCAATGTGTTACATAGTTGTCACTCTTTATCGTCCTGCAAATGAGAAGGTTCACTGCTCTTTGCAACCTGCACATGAAGAATATCTCTTTTGCCAGCAAAGTGGATAATAGGTTTGGGTACAGGATATCTAACTAGAATATTTTCCCTTTCACAGGGTTCTCATTTGTACATCTTTTGTGTTCTTTGAAATAGTATTCGTCTTGTGACCTTCATTTTTCCCTAGCTCGTCAAGCATGACTAAGCATTTTCATCCTGAATCCTATCAAAATAATTATTAAGCCACAGTATAGAGGGAACATTTTTAGAGATGCATGTGTTTACCTTTTTGATCAGCACAAGCTTCTTGTTATTTGCCATGATACGTAGAGATGTCCTGAAATGTCATGGCAGTTACTGTACATACTGTTCACAAGGTTCCTATGTGCTCATTATTGGTAATAGACAGAGTCTGGCTGCTATTAAACTATGACAAGTTTTGTCACTCTGGCCACTTTGATGTCCACAAGGGAAGCACCAGCTTTAGCTGGAGGACATGTGCAGTGGCAGATACTTTCTTGACAATCATGGCTTTCCTGCCTTTCTCTTTTCTTATTTCATCTTTCACTTTTAAATTGTCATATTATGTGCCCAAGGATGAACTAGAGTATCTTAACCTGAAAGTAAATTACTTCCACAGACAATAAAGACAAATGTTATCGGTACACTAAACATGCTGGGACTTGCCAAGCGAGTTGGAGCAAGGTGGGGGAGACTTCACTATGCATTAGTCCTTTGACCAGGCATCATTTATCTTGTCACTTCACTCATTCATATCATATTAATGGCATACAGGATTTTGCTTACATCAACATCAGAGGTATACGGTGATCCTCTTGTGCATCCCCAACCTGAGAGCTATTGGGGTAATGTTAACCCAATTGGTAAGTTCGTCTCAAGTCTTTGTTTGGTGGAGATATATGTGCATAAGAGAGTGTAAGCAGTTTCAATGTCTTATCAATTTCTGTTTCTGAACTCTTCATTCTTTTTTTTTTTGCCATTATAACTTTTAAACTTATATATCTTCACGGTATACACTCCAATATTAGAGTTAGGTCATGTTGGACATCTCATATGAGTCTCTATACATTATTTATATCAAAGTTTGAGGTCACTGTTTCAAAGTACAAAAAAGCAGTATGCATGCCGAATATCAAAATGTTATCCCCCCTTGTTACGTGATCTGTGAACATTTCTATATCTCCGTATATCTAGATTAATGTTTTTTTATTGTGTAATTACTTTGTAAATTGGCATTTGCAACTTCCTGATAATTTTACCTCAGCAACGAAGATATTTTGCTGGTTTAATAGGGGTTCGCAGCTGCTATGATGAGGGGAAGCGTGTGGCTGAGACTTTGATGTTTGACTATCATAGGCAGCATGGGATAGGTAACATGTTACTTTCTTCACTACAAACATGGTCAGGGTAAAGCAAAAATGTTATGATGCATTGACTTCAGTATTCTTCACCAGAAATACGCATTGCCAGAATCTTCAACACTTATGGGCCTCGCATGAATATTGATGATGGGCGTGTCGTCAGCAATTTCATAGCTCAAGCAATTAGGTGAGTCATAAAAGAATAACTACGTGTATGTTTTTATCTTCTCTTATACCACTGGAATTAACCCATCCATTAAAATAAATTAGCCCATTCTCTGGGCCTTCAAGAGACTTATGACTGGAACCAAAGTATTCAACACTTTATATCTGCTAAGAGTAGGATTATTCTATGATGTCTAGCATTAGCAATTTAGCATGAATGTCTAACAAGAAGCCTTCAGAGGGGGCCGTTGTTAGTTTAGTTCATGTCAAGAATAGCTGTTTGTTGTGACTGTGCTACTATTTTCATCACCATGGTTTCTGGCTGAAACAGCTTAACCAAACATCTTTCACCAACTGTTTATGTTATGATCTTTAATGTTTTATTTGTGATTCACACTTTTGTAGGGATGAACCATTGACAGTTCAAGCTCCTGGAACACAGACTCGTAGTTTCTGTTATGTTTCTGATATGGTAGGAAATTATGTACCAACATACCAAACAGACAACGTATTTTATTGTGATACATTGAGTTAGTGATGACCTATTTCTCAATTTGTTTCACAATGTTAAAGATTGATGGCCTCATTCGACTCATGGAAGGGGAGCATACTGGGCCAATCAACATTGGGAATCCAGGTTACTTAAAAATTCTTACCTAGAAATGCTATGGTGCTGAGACTGAAGCACCAGTATTCTTTGTATAGAAAAATGGGTACTAACCTGATTAATCTCTTCTACACTGCAGGTGAATTCACTATGCTTGAACTTGCAGAGACGGTGAGGGAGGTCAGTTATTTCTTTGCTTTATCTCTTATTCTCAACTCTCAACCCTCATTTGCTTCCAATTTTGCTACATAGCAATGAGTAGTGCAGATGACTTATTAGCAGTTCTTTAGAATCTGTGAGAAATTTTTTTATGATTTTGTTGAACAACTAAACAATCAATATAAGTTTATTTCAACAATAATATTTCTGCGAAGTCAAAGTTTTTACTTGATTGTGGGAACTGGGGAACCAATACTGAGGTTTGTATTGACGAGTAAAATATGTTTCTTTATGCGAAGTGAATGGAACAGATGCCATTGTAAACTTCATGAAGAGGGATTGGGCAAGTTTTGTATACAAGTCTTGAATAATAAAGTAGGTGGCGAGCAAAAGTTTCTGATCAAAATGGCCCAAAATCATTTATGTAATATAACCATGATTGTGTATGCCACATCCCATCATATTTTTAAGAACTCTAGATCTGGACAAAACATGATGCAGGACAACTACATATAAATCTATCTGTTGGTAGGTATGATGTGGAACTTGATGCAGAACATCAATAAAACAAACTGAAGGGCTGGTATAAGTAATTTTGTGAGGCTAAATTATTGAAGAAATGGGGTTTAGTTGTGTATAATGGTGTCCAGAAACGAAAATGATTTCAAGGTTATAATTATGAGTAGGAAAATTGCAAGTTCCATGTCTGGCTGTTTGCCAACAAGAGATGGAATGTGTTGGTTTAGGACTACGGTTTAGTTATTGAAGGATGAAGGAATTTGACTAGTCAGATGATGCTTTCAAGGTTGAATAAAGATTAGCGTGGCTGGTTGTGTCCCTAAAAGATTTATATACAAACAATTACATGGCAGAAGATCATAGTAATCACTCAATTTTAGGATTTCTTTTTTCTTTGAATTTGCTTTTTCTCTAGCCTCTGTTGAACATTTCTAGCTCAGGAATGGAACAGTTTGTGAATTGATGACTCAGATGTCTCTTCATTTATGCATACACTAAACTTGAAACTTCGCTTCACTTTGTATTTTGAATTGAAAATGCTTCACAATTTCGACTTTCAGCTTATTAACCCAAAAGTGGAGATCAAAATGGTGGAAAACACGCCTGATGATCCACGACAGAGAAAACCAGACATCACAAAAGCGAAGGAATTGCTAGGATGGGAGCCAAAGATTAAGTTGCGGGATGGTCTTCCTCTCATGAAAGAGGATTTCCGACAGAGGCTCGAAGTTCCCAACAAGAAATGAACCAAAGGCAGTTAAATTCAATTTTCAATTCTGTCTGGGAGGGCTTCAGAGACCCTCTTCTTTTTTCTTGTTTTTTGCTCCCAGNCTGGGAGGGCTTCAGAGACCCTCTTCTTTTTTCTTGTTTTTTGCTCCCAGTATGTGTTTTCTGTCATGCATTCATTATTCTTCAAATTTCATTAAGTTGTCTTAGTTAAAATGGTGGTGGTTTATGTCTCTTTCTTCTTCTCCTTGTTCTAATTATGGAAACCAAGAAATTTTCTGATTCTGGATTTTTTTTTTCTCGAGTTTTTTATCATACCCATTATCTTCAAAAATTTATTTTTCGAAATAAGATATTTTTAAACTTATTTCTCAAATTCAGTCACTTTTTAAAAGACGTTATTCTAAATAATGCCTTCGTAGTTAAAGATGTCATTTGAAAAGACACTTTTAAAACGGCATTTTAAATGATGCCTTTAGCGCACTACATTAAAATAATGCTTTTAAGTCGCATTACATAGAAAGTTTGGCGCTAATAAATTTGAATAAAATCTTGAATGATCACTCCATTTCAGGTGTAATCAATCCAAAAGGGTGGGCAGAAGACACTTCTGCAGTCCATGTTGGAGGCCTAGTGGCAGCTACCGTAGGGGGGCCTTGTTTGTTCCATCGAATAATTATATTGTAGGTTTAACTCAAACTAAATAAAGTCATAATATCAATTATTTAGGGTCAATTCAATATGAACATGTTTAAAGTATCGAAAAATAAAAAACAGGTGCTTAAAACCACATGACAATATATGTATGAATTTGTCCGAAATCATAAATGTTTCATTTATAATTTCACTTTTTTTTTTAATTCATAATTCAACTCTCAATTTAAAGATACATATACAACGAATTATTCAAGACAAAAGAAATAACAAAATGAAGCCATCAATGATTCAAGGATGTAGCAAGGATAAAAATCTATTGGAAAATTTGGAGGCCGATCTTTTTTGTGGACTTATTTGATGATAAGTTCATTAAAGAAACTCGTTTAATATTAAGTCTATTTTGATATTCGTTGTCCAAACTATTCCTAGTAATTATGTTTAATTAAAATAAATTTAAAAACTAACAACTCCTAAATTTTAGAAGTTTGACTAATATTAAAATTCTCTCTCTCTCATATCTATATAATAAAGTAGAACAAAATTTAAATTCAAAAGACAAAGAGAGATTTAGATCTTTTTGAAACAAAATATAAACACATCCAACATACAACGTAATCCCAACATAAAAAACGGTTCAGATCATCTCAAAAATTTTGATCTAACGGTCTACAGTTAGTCCTGAATTTCTTTTCCCGTGCCACAAAGAAACCTCTTATTTTAAGGTTCTACACTCCTATCTTTCATACACCTCTATCTTAAATTTGAAAAAACACAATAACAACTCAAATTGAATTTCTTTTAAATTAAATGATCTAAATGTTATATGTTAAAAGTGTATTGTTTGTACCTTGATTTAGGTTGATTTTGTTTAATTTTTAAATTTACGATAAAACTTTGCATAAAATTAAAAATATTTATATTAAACACACATAAAATACATAATATTTTTAAATTTAGTGTTTTTTTTTTCAAAGTTTGACAGTTTAACATTCGACCCCAATAACCGCATACACATCATCACTACATCACAAAACCAATACCCAAATGGACAATGTCACAATTTTTGAACATGTAAGTTATTTAGTATATCGATTTTTTTAAAATTTTTGGTATAATATTTCATTAAAAACCATTTTATACTTACTATATAATTTTTCATTCTTCTTATTACAAACTGATTCATACCTGGAGTACACTATAAATAAATTTTCTTATCACATATAGTATCAACAAATGGTTTACCATCCATGGCCGAGTGCAAGGTATAAGATTTTCTTCCTGTTATTTGTCAACCCGGACATGACCTCTTAATTTATTTAAATGTGTTATATAGGCCATCTTCAAGTTTGGAGCGAGTTGTGTTAGTATTATGTCATTCGACATAATTAACTAAAAAGACTGTGTTAAGGTTGAAAAGTTTTTGACATGAATTTGAAATAACGCAACAATATGATAAGAAACGATTTAGTTGTCACTCTACTTCATGCACAGCTGGGAATTTTTATTTTTGTGCATTCATGCGTTAGTAATGTCTTGCAATTTTTTTTTGTTATATAGCATATTTAAGTACGACTAATTACTTGTATACTTATGTATTGTCAGGTTTTGAGGAAAGGACCATAACCTCGAGAAGAAAGGGAAAAAAAACAAACACTACTTGAAAAATACACAAAAAAAATACAAAAGAAAACTCCATCCAATAAAACTTCAAAATTTTCTCACTACACAAGTATCCCAATCCAAGAATTATACTCAAATGTTTGTAGTCACTAGTAAGAGCATCTCCAATTAATTATTTAGTCTCACTCAATTCTTTATTTTAGAGAATTAATTACTAAAATAAATAACTTTATATGACCCTTTACGTTTGAAGAACTCATCTCATTCTTTATTCTATTTTTAATGAATAAAAAAATGACATATATATTCTTCATTAAATATTATTAACTATAAAATTATTTTTCTATTAAAATAAAGAGCTTATTGACGTTGTTTAGGATATTTCACTCCCTATTTTAAAATTTTATCAAAATGTTCTGTATTTATAAAAAAAAATTATTCAGTCTAAAATAGAGAGTACTATTAAAAATGCTCCAAGCCCACAACAAAACCAGAAGGGTTTTTAACTTTCGGATGTGTAGAAGAGCTTGCAAGCTCACACCCATCACAAATCCAATTAGATAATTAAAGGCACATTCCTGTGCCTCTCTTAAATTG